AACATATTTTGACTGTTGTGTAATTCCTTTGTTTCTTTTTCTCTTGCTCTGTTCCTGTTCCTTTGTGATTTGATGACTTTCTGTAATGTTAGGCTTAGATTCCTTTTTTTTTGTATATCTTGTTTATTTACTATAGATTTTGGCTTTGGGGTTACCATGAGGCTTATATAAAACAATTTCTACTGATAACAGTCCATTTAAAGTTGATAAAAATGTAAGTTCCAATGCATTCTAAAACTCTATAGTTTGATTACCCTCCCAAACATTTTATGTTTTTGGTGTTACAACTTCTTTTTGTCTTACACATTTGTTAACAAATTATTGTAGTTATTTTTACTACTTCTGTCTTTAATCTTCATACTAGCTTTGTAAGTAATTAACCCACCACCTTTATAACATTATTTTGAATTTTAGTATATATTTGTCTTTACCAGTAAGATTTATACTTTCATGTTTTCCTGTTACTAGTTGATACCTTTTATTTCAGCTTCAAGAAATCCCTTTCAGATTTCTTGTAAAGCCAAGTCTATTGGTGATGAATTCCTTTAGCTTTATGCTTATTTGGAAACTCTTTATTGCTCCTATTTTGAAGGACAGCTTTGCTGGGTAGAATATTCTTGACTGGTTGTTTTCCCTTTCAGCACTTTGAATATATCATGCCACTCTCTTCTGGCTTGCAAAGTTTCTATTGAAAAATCTGATAATAGTCTTATGGGCGTTACCTGGATAAAACAAGTTGTTTTTTTATTGCTTCTTCTAAAATTATCTCCTTGTTATCTTTTGATGATTTAATTATGTGTCTTGGTATGGTTTCTTTTGGGTGCAGCTTATTTGGAACTCTGTTTCTTTCCCCAGGTTAGGGACGTTTTGGGCCATAATTTCAAGTAAATTTTCTATCCCTGTCTCCCTTTTCCTTTTGGGGCTCCCATAATACAAATACTGGTTTATCTGATACTGTTTCATAAGTCCCTTATGTTATTTTCACTTTTTTAATTCCTTTTTGTTGTTGTTCCTCTGCTTTAACAAATTCCACTGCCCTTTGAGTTCTTTGAGTTCCTGATCCTTTCTTTGGCTTTCATCAACTTTTCTTTATTCCTTTTATTATATTTTTCAGTTCAGTTACTGTATTCTTCAGCTTTGTGATTTCTGTTTGGAACTTTTATTATATTTTCTGCTTCTTTCTTGACATCCTCATTTGGTTCTTGCATTGTTCTCCTGACCTCAGTGAAAGCATTTTTACAACTGTTATTTTGAACTCTTATCAGGAAAATAATTTATCTTCATTTCACTGAAGTCTTTTTCTGAAGCTTTATTGTGTTCTTTTGTTTGGAACATACTGTTCTGTCTCTTCATTTGCTTTGACTCTGTTGGTTTCTGTGTGTTAGATAAAACACACCTCTTTTAGTCTTGAAGGTGGGGCCTTGAGTACGAAATAAAACCCTGTCCTATCTCTTGGTTGTCTCTCAAACCTTTTTGATTTTCCAAGTAGTCTACTTTATTTTTAGTAGTTCCCAGTAGTTGAGGCTATGCCAAAACCTGCCAGTATCCCAGTGGGAAGGATCTCAGGACTCAGATTCAGTTTTATTGGAAGCTGTACCCTTAGGTGGGAGCTTTTAAAGTAGGCAGCTATACCTCTTTCATAGCAAGACTTTGAGATGGGCATCTTATCCCCTCTGCACTAAGCCCTGGTGTGATAGCCACTTAAGAAGTGTCTCTTTGTAGGCTGTCATCCCATTGAATTTGTGAAGCTAAGCCTTCCTGGCCACCAGAACTAGGCTACTACAAAAGCTGGGATGCTGGGTGTTTGTACAAGCTCCTTTCATGGAGACACCAGCAGTCTGGGGTAGGGCAAAGTGAGTATGAAGATGGTACCTGGTAACTTCCACAGAATCTGGAGATGATTGTGGGTGGCTCCTAGTTGTGTGTTAAATTAGAAGCCCTCAGGCTGAAGATTTAAGATAATCATATAGGCCTCTTTCACAGAAAGATTGGGGTTGCATTTTAGTGTGTTGTGTCTCTGTCCTATCCCCTGGAGGTGGCTGGTTCAGAATTATTTCTCTATTTGTAACAGTCGTATGGGACCTTCAAATGTAAGGCCGAGATCTGGGACCTGTTGGCTGCCAGAGCTAAGTAATTAGGCGGCATCCCATGAGCAGCAGCCACAAAAACCAGGGTACCAGACATGTGCACAGTCTCCTTACTGATGCTGGTGACTGGAGCTGATTAGAGGGTGAGCATAAAGATAGTGCTCAGCCTCTTGAGGTCTCTGGAGAGGATTAATTTGTCCTTAGATGTGAGTTTAATTAGAAGTCTATCCCTTGGGCTGTTGCTATGAAGGTAAGATAATAGGCTTCTTTCACAAAAAAAAAAAAAAACTGGGTATTTAAGTGAACTGCCTCAGTTCTAGCCTCTTGAGTTGTAGAAAGAGTGAGCCTCTGAGAGCTTGTTAAGAAACTGCTGCTCAGTGTGCTACATGTAGCCTTGTTGGTCTCACAGACATAGCCCTGTTGACTTATAGAGCTTGATATTTTGGGGTTTTGTCTGTCAGGTGCAGGTCTTAAAAGTTTGGGTATCAGTTGTAGTGTTCAAACCACTTGCTCTTCTGGAGGAATTTTAGAGTTGTGAGTTCCCTTCCAATTATGGGTTGCTTGCTCGTAATGAGGTTTGTGGTGAAATTGTGCCTTAGCCTCTTGAACTTTTTTTTAATAACTTTTTTTAAAAAGGTTTTTCTTTTTTTTTTTTTAAGTTATTTATTTTTGAGTAATCTCTAAACCAAAGTGGGGCTTGAATTTATGACACCAAGATCAAGAGTGTCATGTTTTTCTGACTGAGCCAGCCAGGTACCCCCAATTTGTTTTAATGTGTGTTTTTTTCATGTTTTCCTAATTAGAAGGAGTCTTTTTGGCTAGCTCTTTGGTTTCTTTTAGAGGAAATTGTTCTGTATGTAGCTGTAGATTTGATGTGTCTGTGGGAGGATGTAAATTAAGTATCCTTCTACATTGCCATCTTGAATTAGAACCTATTTACTTTTTTTGGTTTGTTTTTAAAAAATACTTTATTTGAGAGAGAGTGAGAGAGAGCATGAGTGTGGGGTGGAGGGAGGGGAGAAAGAGGGGAAGAAGCACACTCCCCTCCCTTCTGAGCAGGCAGCCTTAGGCAGGGTTTAATCTCAGGACCCTGAGATCATGATCTGAGCTGAAGGCAGACACTTAACTGATTGAGCCACCCATGTGCCCCAGAACCTATTTACTTTTAAAGCAGTAGAGAAATAAGGTTTAAATATGATTGTTGAAAATGAGAAGGTAATCACTAAAGAAATGGAGACATTGGAGGAGGAGACTTGGAGGAGACAGTGGAGGAACTTCAGAATTCAAAGAATTTGTAATGTCACTGGGAAACCTGATGAGGGGGGAAAAAATAAAATGACACTTCTACATAAATGGTAAACATAACATGTAAAGAATGAAATTTGCTTAGCAATTAATAAATATAAAGAAGCCGATCTTTTAGAAATCAAGATTCAAAGAATATTAAATTAGAAAATAATCTGTATTTTTTAAGAAATGTAGAATAATCATAAAATTAAAGAAGAAACATATAATAAAAGGTACACAAAATATATAGTCTCAGAGCAAAGACAATATAAATGCAATAGAAAACTCATTCAGAAAACAGAAGAGGAAATACGGAGTTTGTTGATCCATACCAATTATGAAATCCAGCTTGGCAGGCATTGTGAAGGCTTGCTCTCCTGGGGGTGTGGAGGAAATTCTTTGGATAATTTAGTATCTTCTCTTTGGGATGGTTTTTTCTGTCATTTATCCTGTATAAACAGATCTAAGGTAGGTATTGTGTATGTATTTGCCTTGGGGTCTGTATAGCTGTCTCAACTTGTATGTTGTGGTACAAATTTCGAGCTTGAGTATTTTAAGAGTTGAGCGTATGATACTTTTTAAATGATTGAATAGCGGGGTTAGAGAAGAGGCTCTGTTCCATAAAGTTATTCAGGACCCCAAGCTGATGGGGACTTTGCTTTCTTTAACGGGTGGTTTCCACATTTATAGTGTATGTTGATATCAGATAGCAAAAAGGGGGGGGGGAGTAGAGGATTCTGGAGAAAATCTTTATGGGCTTTGAGTAGTAAGTGGTGTATACCACTTTTGCCTCTGACCAGAACTTAAATCACATTTCCAAACCAACTCCAAGGGAGGTTAGGGAATGTAGTTCTAGCTGTATGCCCAAGAGGAAAGGGAAAGAGTTTGGTGAACAGCTGGACAGTTTCTCCTTTATCCTACCTGTCTTTATTAAAGCACTGTTATCTTAACCAACAGAAAGCATATATTTTTCTAGGTCCACGATACATTTGCAAATATAATTCATGTAGTAAGCCATAAAGGAAGTTTGAGATTTGTCTAAGCAGAGATTCATAGTTGCATTTTCTAATAATTCATTAGAAATCAACAACAACAAAAGATGCTTAACCTCCCTTACTTTTTTGGAAATTACACACTCTGGGTTTTTAAAAGAAAAAGAGAAAATGGAAAATGAAAATAAATTAGAAATTATATAGAAATTGATGAAACAAAAACCAGTGGTTTGTTCTACAGAAAATTGATACTTCATGGGCGCGTTTATTATTTAAAAAAACCTAAAAATACATAAACTGATATCCAACTTAAGAAATTAGAGATAGAGAACAGAATAAATATCCATATTGCTTTAATATTTCTGTCTCTTTGAACTGCATTTACTTATGATTACCTCAGGCCTTTTCATCACTTTTTTTGGCAAGTGTCTGTTCTGTTGCTTGCTGTTTTCAAAATGCATTTAAATTTTATTTTATTTATCACAGGCAATTTTCTTCATAGTTATAAGATCATCTTTGTTGAATTAAAGTAATAGAAAAGTACATAAAATGAATTGGTGAGATTAAAAGGGAAATATGAATGGGTTAACTCTTTATAAACTTGGGAGTTGTTAAAATTTTGTTTTTCTTCTAGATTCTGATGGAAGGAGGAGGAACCTCTTCTTTAAAAGACAGACCAACATCTACAAAAATCTGTCACTGTAACTATAAGTAAATTTTATTCTTAAAGAAAAAAGACAACTAACATTTAAATGACAATTAAGTGGCTTTTCCCCCCAGATTTTTGCTAGCAAATATTTCATAGATATCTTAGAATATACTAGCAGTGCAACTGGTTCTTTAAAATTGCTCTTACCTTTGAGAAAATATATTATACTTAAGTATATATAATGTATATATAGTTTCGTGAATAATAAAACCGATACCCTTGTATGTACTTTGTAGCTTAAGAAATAATGTAGAATCAGTACTTTGGAAGCTCTTCTCAATTGCATTTCCTATCCTGCCCTCTAGAGGTAACTATTATCCTGAATTTATTTTTGTGATCTCCCATGCAGTCTTTTCCATTGCTTGGTTTTGAACTTTCTACAGATTGAGACAGACTACATATTTTTCTGCAATTTTTTTGGTTGTTTACCCAGTAATATATCTTGAGGCTTGTGTACTTTGATAGTTGTGACTCTAGTACATTTCATTATTTACTACTATACAGTCTTCTATCTTGTGAATGTGGTACTACATCTTATTTATACATACTCTGGCAGTGATTACTTAGGTTGTTTGAATATTTTGTTATTATAAACAGTGCTGCTTTGGCAATTCTTGATATTTCTCCTGGCACACATGTATAAAAATTTCCTCTATGATACGTAGTTCATATGATATGCACATCTTCACATCTTCAAAGTAATGCAAAATTATTTTCCAAAGTTATTGTGTCATTTTAAACTTTCACTAGCAAGAGGTAGGAATCTTAGTTTTTACATATTCTAACTCTGGGTCAGCTTTTTATCATTGTTGGCAATGTGGAATCTCACTGTAATTTTAATTTATATTTCTCTAATTATTAATTAGGTCGATTGACCATTCCTGTTCCATCTGTGAAATGCCTTTCATGTCTGTTGCCCATGTTTCTTTTAAGAAATTCAGCTTTTCTTATGGGATGTATCTTATATATCTATATATATCCTGTATATCCTATATATTTTTTGTAGATCCTAGATATTAATTGCTTGTAGACCTATATGTAGCAAATACTTCATGTTTGAGTGATCTCTTTATTCTTTGCGATATTTTTATGGGCAAAAGTTTCTTTTTTTAAATTTTTTTTAAAGATTTTTAATTTATTTATTCAGAGAGAGAGGGGCAGAGACACAGGCAGAGAGAGAAACAGGCTCCATGCAGGGAGCCTGACGTGGGACTCAATCCTGGGTCTCCAGGATCACACCCTGGACTGCAGGCAGCGCTAAACCGCTGCACCACCAGGGCTGCCCTGGGCAAAAGTTTCTGACAGTTTTTATATAGTCTCTGATAGAATGATTGTTTAGTATATCTAGTCCAATAGGAAACCTAGAAAAAAATTTTTAAAGATTTTTATTTATTCATGAGAGACACAGAGAGAGAGGGGGGGGGAGGCAGAGACACAGGCAGAGGGAGAAGCAGGCTCCTTGCAGGGAGCCTGATGTGGGACTTGATCCCGGGTTTCCAGGACCAGGCCCTGGGCTGAAGGCGGCGCTAAACTGCTAAGCTACCCGGGCTGCCTGGAAATCTAGAAATTTTAATGGGTTTTTTCTTTTAAAATCTGTTTAATCTTTTGAATATGTAACACATTGGTTTGGTTTCTGTCCCTATTTTTGCTGCTCTATTTCCTTCTGTATAGTATGAGTAGCTCTTTTCGTGTTGGTGTTGGTTTATGGTTTATCATTCCAGCTTTCCCCCCCACCAAAATAAAGCCCAAAAATATATAAGTGCACATATACACATGAATTTTGGTTCTTGCCTTTCTCACTCTGAATGTAATACTGGATATTTTATTTAATATAGAATATTTTATAAATTAATTAAATTGATTAATTTAATAGAGCATCCTATAGTGTTCTCCATGTTAGTGTTAGACATTCTATCATTCTTTATTTATGACCATGTAGTAATCCATTATGTGGATGAATTATACTTTATTCAATGAATGCCCTGTTGATGGACATTTGAGTTGTTTCCAGTATTCTGTTCTTACAAATAATGTTGTAGTGAACAACATTATGCACATGTTCCTTAATTGTGGAGGTGCATTTTTGGGGTAATTTCTAAGAGTGGGATTACTGAGTCATAGGGGAGATACGTTGGTTTCTGTTTTTTTTTTTTTTTTTTTTTTTTTTTTTTTTTTTTTACTTTTTTAAAGTAGGCTCCATGCCCAGTGTAAAGCCCAGCATGGGGCTCAAACCCACAACTCTGAAATTGAGACATGAGCTGAGATCAAGAGTCAAATACCCAATGGACTGAGCCAGCCAGGCACCCCATACATTAGTTTTTTTGATAGATATTTCCAAATTCCCTGTCATACCATTTGGCAGTCCTACCAGAAATGTGCCTTTTATTCTGCAGCCTCCCCGACATGATTTATGTTCTAACTTAGACATTTTTTTGGTGAATCTTCTAACGATAGATAGATAGATAGATAGATAGATAGATAGATAGATAGATAAATGTTTTGAATCTCTGGTCTCTTTTCTGCCCCCGTCTTACTGCTTTATTGCAGATCCTCATCACTTTATAACGAATTTATTGAATTAATTTTCTAACTGACTTGCTTTTATCTGGTCTCACCCTTCCTTAATCTATCCTCAGATGCCTTGGTAGGTAATTAAAATGCAAATTCCTTTAGTACTAAAGTGTATCCGTATACTTTTTTCTTCTATTCCATATGCTGTTTTTCATCTTGTCTCTCTAGAAAATTTATTTAGTTTTCAAAACCTATTCTTTATGCTTTTTATTTTTTTAAGATTTTAAGAATCAGTTAATTTGAGAAAGAGAGAGGGACAAGCAGACTCTGAGCTGAGCACAGAGCCCCATGTGGAGCTCAATCCCACGATCCTGACATCATGACCTGAGCCAAAATCAAGAGTTGGGCATCTAACCAACTGAACCACTCAGGGACCCCTATACTGTGTTTTTCTGTAGTTCTTCCCAACTTTTTCTTCAGAGCTCACCACACTTAGCTATTACTTTCTTTAAAAAAATTTTTATTTAAATTCAGTTTGCCAACATCTAGTATAACACCGAGTGCTCATCCCCTCAAGCTATTACTTTTGTGCCTTCTGTGACTTCTGTTGTTGCACCTAATTTTGTGACTTTTTCTTTTAAACAGTATGTTTTTCTCCACCAAAAGATTCTGAACACTTTGAGCATTGTAGACCTGTCATGTTTCCCTACTATTACAGTGCCTTACATAAGGCAATTACTCAGTAAGTGTTAATCTGAATTGACATTTCGATCTGTATATCTTTTCTTACACTGCTATAGGTCAGATACTCATTCAAAAGACATTTGTCTTCTAATGACTCTGGTTTACTGTACTTATGAAGTGAATGAACCTTACGAGGGAGAATGCTTTTAGATTATGATGTTAGTAAAATCTACCATTCACTTTTCTGTACTCTGCTTTCCACTATCAAGAAAAACCTGATCCACAGAGGTATGAATTTCCTTCTAGAATGATGAACTAAGGATATCAGAGTTCACCTAAGTTGTCTCTCTAAGCTGACTGGTTAGATTCTGTTACAGAGAGCATTAGTCCTGATCTGAGACATGAATAGATAGTACTTATAGTTTATTGCATAGAGGAGGGAATGTGGTTTGATATGAGTTGTTGCTCCACATTCCATTATTTTGTGCTTTTTTTGATAGCAAACCCATTTTCATAAACAAGGAGAGGAGTAGTTGAAGCTACTGTTGATTTATAGTATTTTTACATTATAGGGGGTCATAACCTACTTCTCAGGTGCATTTTTAAAGTGTACTTGCATTCATAAGAGAACATATTAAGCAGATAATGAGAGAATATCATACTGGATGCTTTGAATTGATTTTTTTTCATACAGTTTTCATTGCACAATGAATCTTCATTTACTGGATTAGCAAATATCTGGCACCTTGGGATGTAATATACTTGTCTTATTCTTCCTTCCTGCAGTTGACACTTTAAATTATTTGTTCATAAAAAGTGGTTCATATATTGGAAAAAAAAATCAATCCAATTTTCTTTATTCTCTTTTCTTCCCTTAAATTATATACTCTTACTTTATTTAGAGATACAATGATTTTAGGTGTAGAATAAGCCCATAATATCCTGTCAGAGATGCAAGCTGCCAAGCATATAAGATTTTAACTTGTTTTTGCACACTTTAAAGTGCTCTATAGATGTTAACTAGAGGAGCCTGAGTGGCTCAGATAGTTAAGTGTCTGCCTTCAGCTCAGGTCGTGATCTCAGGGTCCTGGAATTGAGTACCATATTGGGCTCCCTCCTCAACAGGGAGCCTGCTTCTCCCTCTGGCACTCCCCCTGCTTGTGCTATCTCGTTTGCTATCTCTGTCTCTCTGTCAAATAAATAAATAAAAACCTTAAAAAATTTTTATGTTAGCTAAATTTATTTCACCAACAAATATCTTCTGCCTGTGTGTATATATTTTGTGGAGCATTAATAAATACCATTCTTCATCAATTAAACCTTTATTTTCAGATCTTGATTCTTCACAGAGTAGTCAGTCTACCTATTACTCTCCAAGGCCAACAGATAGTTGCTTCAGTTCTAGTTCAGAGATGGTAAGTTACTTTTCTTTTTGCTTATTAGTTTATGTTCTTCTAATTTGGAGTTACTTGTATTTCTCATTGTTTACCTTTACATTCTGAAAAAAATAATTGTCAATAAGTAGTAGATATGTGTAAAGAAAATACTTTAAAATATTTAAAATGGGAAGCCTGGGTGGCTCAGTGGTTGAGTGCCTACCTTTGGCCCAGGGCATGATCCTGGAGTATCGGGATTAAGTCCCACATGGCTCCCTGCATGGAGCCTGCTTCTCCTTCTGCCTATGTCTCTGCCTCTCTCTATCTCTGTGTCTCTCATGAATAAATACATAAAATCTTAAAAAAAATATTTAAAATGTAATAAGCTTAATAAACAAATGTAAAATTGAAATGTAAATGAGTATCATTCATTCACATTTATAAAAATGTTTATTTTAACAAAAGCTACTCTTATCAAGATATGTGTGTCTATACATTATAAAGTTGTATTTCTTTTAAAATGCTTTTTAAAAGAACCCACTCACAATAATTGAAACCTAAAACAACTAAGAATACATAGAAAAAAACTGAAGACTTACGTGAAGAAAACTATAAGATGTTGATTAATGTAATCTGAATAAATTGGAGTGACGTGTTATGTCCTGAGTAGAAGTGCTGCATTTCTCAAAGATCACACGTTTTAATGGATTCTCCTTCATTAATTCTTCCATCTTCATTGCATCTTTGGCTCACCATCCAAACTGCTCTTGTTAAGGAAGAGCACCAGTGACCTCTGTGTTGCCAAATTCATTGGGCACTTTCAGTTTTTATTTTTTGAGAACTAATAATATTGGTAGAAATGATTTATTTTCCTTTTATGAAACATTTTCTTCTTTTTGCTTTTCTGATAACATGCTATCTTGATTTCCTTCATACCTCTTTGAATTCTACTCTATGCCTTTGCTGACTCTCTACCACCCCTCACTGTATATAAATGTTGTAATGTTTAGGTTTTGATGCAGGACTGTTTTCTTCTCTTAACTTATACTCTAAACTCTAGGTGATGTTCTATATTTCACTGACATATGCCATCTGTCTCATGACAATTTTCAACTTTATCACTTTAGCCAGGATCCTTATTTAGATCCTTCCTGTTTGATATATCTTCTTGGATATTTCAAAAAATCTTTTCTTTGTACATTAAACTGTTTCTTCTACCTTACTCTTATTATCCTTCAGGTCTCATTTTAGATATGTGACTTTTTCTAAAAAGCCTCTCCTTGGCTCCTCAATCTAAGTTAGGTCCCTTACTTATGCTTTCAAAGTGCTTCATACTTGTTCTTTATAGTGCTTTTATCAATTTGTAATTATATATACATGTATATGATTATTCAGTTAATATCATTTCCACCCATGAGAATATGTGCTTTAGTAGGGCAGCAACCATGACTGCTTCACTCATACTGCAGATGCTAAAGGAATATTTTCTTAAATAAAATATTTTCTTAAATAAACAGTGATGAGCCTGCTTTTTTTTTAAATTCATTTTTTTAAAGATTTTATTTATTCATGAGAGACACAGAGAGAGGCAGAGACGTAGGCAGAGGGAGAAGCAGGCTCCATGCAGGGAGCCTGATGTGGGACTCGATTCCAAGACCCTGGGATCACGTCCTGAGCCAAAGGCAGACGCTCAACTGCTGACCCACCCAGGCGTCCTGAGCTTGTTTTTTTTTTTTTTTTTTAAATGTGTGCCCAGCCAGTCCCAATGCTATTTCTTGGGTTTACTTTTTCTATTTTAGTGCCAATCCACTGAGACCTCTACCTCATCTTAGTATTTTTATGTAAACAGTGACTTTAAAAAAAAAAAAGATTTATTTATTTATTCATGAGAGACACAGAGACAAGCAGAGACATAGGCAGAGGGAAAAGCAGTCTCCCTGTGGGGAGCCTGATGCAGGACTCGATCCCAGATCCTGGGATCATGCCTGTAGCCAAAGGCAGAAACTCAACCGCTGAGCTACCCAGGTATCCCAACACTGACATTTTTTTTTTTAAGCCGGAATAATCAGTACTTTTATATAGAATTTTTGTTAGAAATATTTTGGTTACTCAGTAATTAAAAGATAAGTTTTCCATGAAGTTGAAACATTCAAGCTAGCAAATTAAAATTTATACCTATTAAAAGTTTTTAAATTTGACTTTTTAGATAACTGTTGAAATATTTATTCTTTAATCCTTTTTTTCTTCTTAAGTAGGCCCAATGTGGGGCTTACCCTCATAGCCCTGAGATCAGAACCTGAGCTGAGATCAAGAGTTAGACACTTAACAGACTAGGCCACCCTGGCGCCCTGAGATATTTATCCTTGTTTAACCTTTCTTTTGTCTATTTGATTACCTGTTAGCTGATACTTCCTTAAATCATACCTTTCCTGAGACTGGGTCCATAAAAGATACAATATAGATACTTTTTGACTTAGTTAATGGTTGAAGAATTTGTTTATTAATTCCTTTGTGAAAGGGTAGAGAGATTGTAGCTTGTTATTATGGGGACTGATAAGAGACAAAATTTCCCTTTTCTTTTTTAGCTCTTTGCATTTTGAGGATTTTTAAAAAAGATTTTTATTTAATTATTCATTAGAGACACAGAGAGGGAGGCAGAGACAGGCAGAGAGAGAAGCAAGCTCCCTATGGGAAGCCCGATGTGGGACTGGATCCTGGAATCCCAGAATCAGTCCCTGAGCCAAAGGCAGACTGAGCCCAACCACTGAGCCACCTGAGGGCCTGCATTTTTAAGATTAAAAAAAAAAATTGACACAGAGCACAAGCAGAGGGAACTGCAGAGGGAGAGGGAGAAGCAGACTCCCCACTGAGTAGGAAGCCTGATCCTAGGACCCTGAGATCATGACCTGAGCCAAAGGCAGATACTTAACCAACTGAGCCACCCAGGTGCCCCTCTTTTGCATTTTTAATACAAGAATTATTATTGTTCTTGCTATTTTAAAAGTCCATAACCTCCTTGGAAGTGGTAGATTATTATTTTTTAAAATTTTAATTCCAGTGTAATTAACATACAGTATTATATTTCACATGTACAATGTAGTGATTCAGAAATTCTGTACATTATTTAGTGCTCATCATGACAATTAATCCCCTCTACATATTTCACCCATTCCCCCAACCCACCTCTCCTTTGTAGTTAAGAGTCTGTTTTTTTGGTTTATCTTTTCTTTTTCTTTGTTCGTTTGTTTTGTTTCTTAAATTTTACATGAGTGAAATCATGTGGTATTTGTGTTTCTCTGATTGATTTATTTCGTTTAGCATTATAGTCTCTAGGTCCATTCATGTTGTTGCAAATAGCAAGGCTTCACTTTTTTATGGTTATGTCATATTCCATTATATATATTTATGTATCTTACATCTTTATCTATTCATCTGCCCTTGGACACTTGGGCTGCTTCCATAATTTGGCTGTTGTGAATAATGCTGCAACAAACAGAGCGGTGCACTTATCTTTTTGAATTAGTGTTTTTGTAATCTTTGATTAAATGCCCAGTAATGGAACTACTAGATCATATGGTAGTTTTATTTTTAATTTTTTGAGGAACCTTCAAAAGCAGTAGATTACTGTTTGAAGACTGTTTGTTGGCATAACAGCTTTGAATTGCAACCTGCCAAGTATCTTCTGTATTTTGAAATTTTCTATTATAGAATGAATTTTGAGAATGCTGTGAAGTGACTGAATGATTTGTAAATTTAAGCAAAAATTTACAGAAAAATTACTAAATTTCTTTTAGCCATCTGAAGATGAAGATCAAATATTACAGCAAATTGAAGAATCAAATAGGAGATCCATCAGAATCAAAGAAACAACTAATAATTTTTATCCAGAAGGGATGCCAAAACTTCCACATGGTAGTATTATTAGGAACAATACCAAAAATCAAAACCAAAATGAGAACCTTCACCACTTCTCGATGAAAAATAATACAGATCAATTTCCACAGTCTCAGTGTAATTCAACACACATATTGCAAAACAAAACCAGTGATAACTGCATTCTTCAGGTTGCAAGATGTGATGCATGGGTGCAAACAGACAGTGAACCTGTAATGGAAGAAAAATTAGATGCTGCTGTACAGTGTGATATAATTTCAAAATGTAAATGTAGAAGTAATGTGTCTTCTCTTTGTAATGTTGAAAGATGCAGTGAAAATGTTAATTCAGATACCACTGGAGGGCAGGAAACCCTTAAGAACAACTAATACTCTAAAATCTCAGCTTAAGATTTCACATTGCATTTAATGTTCAGAATTTCATTAACATAATAAGGAATGAGAATATGTAGCTAAGCATAAGGTGAAAGTATTTACAGGATATATTTATGGCTTGTTTTAAAACATTTTAATATTAGTGTATACATTTAATTTTACATAGATTTTTAAAAACAGACATATCTTCAAGATATATGTAGTATTCAAGTTTTTAGGAAAATAATGTATATATGTAAACATTGTTTATCATAGTGATTATTATATTGTGGTATGCTGCTATTTATGGATAAAAGTATGTTTAATTGCTTCCTTCCATGTTTTCTTTATTTTAAAATTTAGTGCAACCATGTCTGATAGCAGAAATGTTCTCTTCCAAGATTTTAAGACAGAAAGTAATGCTAAATAATATTGAATATGTTTTATAATCTCATAAGAATTTTGGTAGCTACTTAAATTATGAATTTTCATGTCATCCTGGTGCAGGGGCCATGCCTATCTATTCTGTATTGTTCTAATTTTAATATATATGATGCCAAAATGAGCACTACTAGCTACTTAAATTAAATATACTTCATTAAAAAATTCTGGCATTAATTTTTAGCTAAAACGTATTTTCTATTTTGTTTGGATAATGCTTTTTGTCGGTGCTTGTATTAATTCAAAGAAAAATGTTTTCAAGATACAAAAAAAATATTTCAATCCTTTTTTTTTTTTAATTTATTCACGACAAACAGAGAGAGAGAAGCAGAGAGTCAGGCAGAGGGAGAAGCAGGCTCCATGCAGGGAGCCTGACCTGGGACTTGATCCCAGGTCTCCAGGATCACATCCCGGGCTGAAGGTGGCGCTAAACCGCTGGGTCACTGGGACTGCCCTTCAATACTTTTATAAAAGACATGTTCAACATTGGCAGGATGATTTATAGTTACTAATTTTAATCTTGCTCAGATTCTTTTCAAAAATAATTTTTTAAATATTTTATTTAAATTCAATTTGCCAACATACAGTATAACACCCAGTGCTTATCCCTTCCCAAAAATATTAGATCAGAATTTCTCATTTATAAAATATAGGCTTTGTTTCCAACATAACATTTATTTTTTGTTTCAAGATTTTAAATGTTTATACTCTGAAATTGACCATTTGTATGGATATATTACAAATTGTACAGCAGAGGGCATTCTGATACACTGAACAAAAATATAATTGGTAGGAGTTTCTGTGCTTTTAAAGAAAAGGCAGATGAGATATTGCAGTGTTATATGCACACATATCCAGGGGTGATCTGAAGCATTATGATTTAGAAACACTGACAACTGATGTTTAAATGGTAATAATCTTAAGTTTTTTTTTTCAATCTTAAGTTTTTTAGCTAGTTTTAGGAAATTGTTTTTGCAGACTCAGAAAGCTTAAAGAGCTCCAAAGTAATTTTCTTAAAGTATTGGTAATCATCTCATGAAAGGGGAATATAATTATCTGATGTACATTGATAGTTTTTCAAAAGGCTAGATTTTCATTGTGATTTAAACAAGTATTTCATCATGGACTGAACATTATTTTGCAAAAATATAACATAGCGATGGAAATCAATATATAGAAAAAGAAGACTCTTTACTGGTGATACTAGAATAAGATTGAGCTATGGATCTTAGGTTGGTTTAAAATATCAAATAAATGGATTTTTTTCCAAATACTAATGAAAATGTACCAGTTGAAAGCACATTCATTACAAAAATCTACATGTAGGGAACATCTCGGTGGCTCAGTTATTGGTTGAGCATCTGCCTTTGGCTTGGGTTGTGATCCCTGGGTCCTGGGATCGAGTCCCGCATCTGGCTCCCTGCATAGAGCCTGCTTCTCCCTCTACCTATGTCTCTGCCTCTCTCTGTGTCTCTCATGAAAAATAAAGAAAATCTTTTTAAAAAATCTGCATATAGTTATATTTTTATCAGTATTATAATGTGGTAATTAAGCTCAGTAAGGTAAAAAGGAATGTCAGAGCTTTTTAGTACAGTGACCACATATAGAGCAGGGTAAAGTGCAGTGTGGTGAAGAATGTAAACTTGCCCAATAAGAGGTCTGCCTTTTGCCCTTGGCCTTCGGGATGTAATCTCTAAGCCCTTGGAGTGTCATTCATGCCTGATTAGAAATGTCTTTGTTAGCCTGGGACCTTGGGCCACACTAGATAGTAACATTATGATTTAGAATGAGACTTTGAGTCAAGCTGTATCAGCTCAGCTTCTTAAGGCTAGAAACTGAGGTCATGATGTGCACAGTCAGCCATGCCACTGTGAGGGAGCCCCAGTAAAGACTCTGGACACTAAGGTTTAGGTGAGCTTCCCTGGTTGCCAGTATTCTGTGTGTTGTGACACACTGATACCAGGAAAGTCTATGACTGCATAGAAGAGGACTACTGGAAGCTCTGCATTATTACTTTCCTGGAGTCTGTCCTGTATGTTTCTTCCCTAGGCTGATTTTAATCTGTATTCTTTTCCCATAATAAACTATAACTGTGAGTATAACAGCTTTCAATGAATTCTGAGTCCTTATAAAACAAATTATTAAATTTGAGGGTGCTCTTGAAACCCCTGAAGGTAAGGGTAGTTTTGTGGACTCTTCCCCTAACTTTGCAGTTGCTAACTCTTCAGGTGCTTTAAGAAGATAAAAATAATGGAAAGGAAAGTGAATATAGATTTACAAAATCAAAAAGACATCTCTTACAGGGTAAAATAGATTGTAGCATACTTCTCGAAATGCAATATGGTTTAGGTTTCCCTTTGATGAAACCATTTAATGGAAAAAAAAACAGCGTTCTTATTCACAACTTAAGATGTATAAGACAAACTCTAAATGTATAAAATAAATTCTAGCTGAGATTTAACACCAATGAAACAAAATGGAAAGCTTAATGATTATGCACACATTCATAATATAAACTACCAAGTGCAGTGACTGCAAATAAGATAACGTACAGTCAGTAATGGCTGATCTGGAGTTGGTGTTTAATGGATTTGTGAAACAGTGCTTTGTTTTGGTCGGCATTAACTACTCTAATAACTTGCCATCTGTAATAGTAGGAAGCTATCTTTAGGGATAGTCTCATGTAATTTTATTTTGTAGCACTTAACCATAATCGTAATTTATTTGTGTAATTTCTTGGTTAATATTTATTTTCCCCATGACACTGTACATAGGAGTGTAGCAAATGCTGTCCTTGCTCTGCTCACATTTCCTTGGCACTTTCATTTCAATACATGCCAACCTGATTTCCAGCTGACAGCACCTGTGACTTCTTTCCTGCAAGGTTTCTCTTGGCTGCAGACACCTGCTCTGCCTATGCGCAGGTAGGCAGGCAGAAAGTACCAGGGAATTAATGCTGTTTGAGAGAAGTCTTTTAAAACAATGACTGATGGGAGTTGGTGGGTAAATACTCCAGTTCCCTTGCTTCTTGTGCAGGATAACTTTCTTAGAAGCATTTTCTGCACCACTATGTACTCAAGGTGTGTGATCCACAGACCTGTAACATTAATGTTATCAATCCTCAGAAATTAGAGGTACAAATTCTTAGAACCCACCCCAACCAAAACTACTGAATCAGAATCTCTGAGACTGGGGACCAAGAGTATATGCTTAAGTGGATGACATTTATGCACACTGTTCTTCCAGAGTTCCTGAAAAGGATTAAGTTACCTACAGTAGAGGCACCTGACCTGGGTGGCTCAGTCGTTGAAGTGTCTGCCTCTGCTCGGGTCATGATCTCAGGGTCTTGGGATGGAGCCTCACATTGCAGTGGGCTCCCTGCTCAGTGGGGAGTCTGCTTCTCCCTCTCCCTCTGTCTGCTGCTCCCCCTCCTTGTGCTCTCTCAAAATATTTTTTTAAAAAGTTGCCTACAATAGTAACTTGCTTGGTAGTAAACGCTTTATTAGCTTCCTTCCTTGTCTCACTTCCCTCCTTCCCCATGCATCTTTCTTAAAATCACACCCCAAAAAACTACCTGTGCTTAAATGTTGCATTCAGTTTTGCTTTATAGTTTGCTTCTGGGAGAATCCATATTGACAGGACAAATTCAAGACAAACTGATGCATGAATTCTCTTTGTTGGTATGATTCAGATTCTGACCTTGCTACTTTTTCTAGTTGTACAGTTCTCTAGTTGCAGTTTTCCATCCATTTCTGTCAACTGCTGAAAACTCAGTGCATCTAGCAGCATATTAGACATAGGTGAAGAGAGAATTTTTGAGATGAAATGTACATCATAATAAATTGTCCAGAATGCACAAGAGAAAGAAATAGAAAATATGAGTGAAACAATAAGGAGGATAGAATAAGAAGCTCCAACATATACTTAATTGAGGTATCTATCAACAGAGATAGAGACATAATTTAAAGCATAATACCTGAGAATTTTTAAAACTTGTTAAGTCAACTAATTCACAAATTCAAGAAGTCCACCAATTTCCAAGTAGAAAAAAAAAAAACCCGAAATTCGTGTCTAGACCCAGTATAATAAAATGGTACAGCCTCAAAGACAAATCTTGAAAGCAGCTGGAGGAAAAAAGAATATCTTCCTACAACGACAGCTACACTGTTAGATGACTTTTTAGCAGCATTAATGAAAGACAAAATACAGTGTAATTAAAACTTCTAAATCCTCACAGAAAAAAGCCATCATTCTAGATTTCTGTTTCCGTCCCAGTAGCTCCAGCACTGTTTATATCACTGAGCTAGCCAATACTAGCATTAAGAAATCATTTCTGTAGGATTCGGTAATTTACATTTAAGACTTTTGTATATAGATAGTACTTTGTGGAAAAAAGTTCCTGATTTTTTCAGTTTGGTCTTCAACCCCTATTTTCAGTAATTTTTCCATTGTTTCTATTTCTTTAGGCTGTCTTCTTAATGACATTGTAGCACTTGAAGTAGCTCAAGCAATAGAAATTTATTTTTTCAGTGTTATCTCTGATGGGCTGCAGTATATATTCCTTTGTGCCTGTTGCTGAGGAGATACCATTTCTTTTAAAATGCCTTATTATTTCAAGCTTCTTTAATACTTAAAGCTTTCCTTTTATATGCAGTTCTTGGCATTTTTGAATCAGGACACTCAGACTTGTTTGGGATGTTGAATATACACACACATATACATATATTTGTTATAATTTCCACCAATGTGAAAGAATAGCAAAAACATAAAAGAATACAGTGAATCAAGGTAGCTGGTAGGTTTTTCAATATGTATGTATTCATTCTGTATATACCTATGTGGCTCAGCATTCACCTAGGGTTTCTTGTGAATGCAATTGCACATCAATCTGTGAAATTTATATCATGCTCAAATTGTTCCTTAATATATAATATGGGGACAAATTTGCCTTTTTCATAAGTTACAGCATAACTTGACTTTCCCCCAGACCATAATATCTTGCCAGTTTTTTAATGGTGTCTTTGAAGAGCAAAAGTTCTAATTGATAAAACCTAATTTATCTTTTCAGAAAAATCAATGATGTGGTTACAGTTCTCTTCTGTGTTTCCTTTTAGAAGTTTTGTATTTTTAGTTCTTAAATTTAGGTCTATGATTTATTTCTGGCTTTTATGTATTTTACACCACATAAGGTCAAAAGTTGTTTGTTTTTTTTAACATAGGTATCTAATTGCTCCGGCAGCATTTGTTGAAAAGACAATTCTTGCACCCAATGAATTAACTTGATGCCTTTGTCAAAAATCACTTAGTGATATGTGGGTTTGAACTCTTTATTATGTTCTCTTGTTTTATTATTTTACCCATTTATTATGATCTGGGTTCTAATATCTATCATAGATCTCTTATGTGAAGAACACATTGTCTCGATTAGTGTAGCTTTATAGTAGGTTTTGAAATCAGTGTTGCTACCTGTTTTTTAAGTTT